TTCTGCCTCACCTTTGGAACCATCTACTGGTTTTTCATTCTTTTTTTGGCCTTTGGAATCATCTTCTTTTCCATTCTTTTCCTTTCTTTTGTTGAACCAAGATAGAAGCCCCATGATTATGATTAACCAATGAAATATGGGTGGAATTTTAGGTTTTCTGAATTTATAGAAGATTAAAAGAGATGACGGAATTAGGGTTTTGCTTATGTAGCATACAATCAAATCTCAAAGGGAAAGTTGATTTATTTGGTAAATTACCTTAGAAACACTCCTAGTATAATACAGTCTCATTCAGTTAAGATCTTTTAGAATAACTTATTTATGTTTTGGGCTTACACGTACCTTAATCCTTACCAAACCATGATGTGAAAAAGTATAAAACCTAATTTCATAACCCTGAAAAAACTACAGGAGAATCCTCGACTATGATTTTAAAAGATATTATAAACTCTAATGAAATTTCAAAAGATTTGTTTGTATGTGTTTTATCCAAATCTTTTAAAATTCCTCTATTACTAAAATCTTTATAAATTCACTAGTTATGGATAACTAAATTTTAAAGGATTTCATTGGATTTCGTTAAGATGGGACACCTAAATTTTAATGAATTCATTAAAATCTTAATCAAAGACATCTAAATTTAAAGATTTTTAAAATCCATCGGAGGACACACCTTTCAATATGAATAGGTGGAAACCTAAACAGTCGCCAGTGAATCCACCTCACAGCCGCCGCCGCAGCCACCATACCAGGCGGCCGGGCTTTGAGAAGCCTTCCACACTCTGCAATCCCAAGTCTCCAGCTTCCTCTAGAAACCCCCAAACCTCTTCTTCAACGCTTGCAGCACAAAAGCTCACTGAGCAAATGTTAGTCCAGATCGGACTTGAGATGCTTTTATGAAATTATTCTACCCCAATCATCTTGTTTAAAATACAAGAATGAAATTAAGGGAGTTGAAGCGTAAAGACACGATCAAGAATTATGTTACAGAGGTCAAAACCCTTATACTTCAAATCCCTACTGTGTCGGATGACGATCTAACTGAATTAGCATATGAACTTCAATATTGGGCAGAGGAAGAATTCAAGTATTCTAACAAAGAATCTTGCTATGTCTGACGAGGAAATTGGAGAAAGATTATGTAAAGTTATTGTTTATAATATCAAATTTTCTGATGATGAAAAGTAGCCCGGATGGCTTCGTGTACAAATCAAATGAAAACAATTCTACGTTATTTCTTTAGGCAGATGCTAAGAATTATGCGGAGCATGGCCTAATATATGCTTCTTATTTTTGCAGAAATTACTTTTTTTTTTTTTTTTTGACACATCAATATACACATCTTGTTTAATTTTACACGAATCCTGTAGGTTATGAATTTTAACATGGCAATCGAGCATGTTAGCTTGATACCGGAGGTGAAAAATGCATTAGAGGTAAGAGTTTGAGCAAGCACTGATTACTTATCATTCTAAAAAATTAAAATTTTAACTAAATATTCTTGTGTAATAATTTTCTGTAGATTAAAAAGGACGCTGATCTTTCTTGTGAAAAGTTTCAGGAGTTCCTCAATTTCATAATAAAACAAAAATACATAGTGAGATGACTGTCAAGAAATTCTCCAGCTGAATAAAATTGCAAGACAGGGAAAAGAAGAAGAATTAAGGGGACTTATAAACAAAATATACAAAACAAAAATTCGTAATTAAGGACAAAGATTAATGAATTTTACATCCAAAAATCATGCTAAGAGCTAATAATCTAACACCACCGAAAATACAATATGCAGTGAGAGTGGCATCAATTCTTGTAGAGGAACCTACACAATTGCCTAAGATGTGATGCTCTAACAAAGCTAGAACTCTATGACGGAGAAGGATCCGGGAGCTTTCCCGTTTCTTCAACGATTATGAGAGCTTTCCTCCTCTGATGGCAACTGCTAAAATGCACACCACCCATTTCAATCTCCCCCACCCCTTAAAGAAAAAGGATGCCAACGTGCCTAAGAAAAAAATGCAAGGGTTTTGCTAGTACTCACACACACACTACACAGCAAAGGGTTACAAAATCTGCTTATCCTATGCCACTCAAGGCACAAAGAAAACTTGAGGTTGCTACTCACCAAGGTCGAGTTTGAGTTAAATTTTCCGCTTCAGTTTCCACATCATGTGGAACTGTTTCCAGCTTTTGCAAAGTATTCACAGAACTGAAAATCAAACGATTAAGAGTAGCAAAATGGAATCATGGACCAACAATACACGAGAAGAGACAAATTATGTTCTGGGAATTTGAATTTCTCAGCTATAATCAAGACTTATGGGAAATTTTGTCAAGGGTTTTCTGTGGCTTCTGGGGATTCTATATACTTCGAAAGAGAGGAGAGGAAAAAGTATGTCGGGTTTGAGAGAAACAACAGTAGAAAGATGGGTTCCCATTTTTATACTTCGCAAAGATATTTGATGAACAGTCGTTGCCATATGAGGCCCCTCCTCTCCGTGCTACACGGAGACTTGGAAACATAGTCTCTGCGCAACGTGGAGCGGAAAGGCACTATACCTCTTAGTGCTGCTTGAATTTTTTTCTTTTTTCTCCTTTCTTTAAGCTAAGAATTTCAATTTCCTGATTTTTGGAGAAATTTTGAGGTTGTCCATTTTTTATGAAATTTTAGTCAAATTTGATTAGAAATGTGCTAATGAACAAAAATCAGCAACTTTGCTGCTGTCATAAGACCAATTTTGGGCAAGTTTCTTCGTTTATGCGTTGTTTCCACTTTTTGGTAAGTTTCGTTTTGGTTATATCTCAATGAATTTAAATCAAACTTGAATTTTGTTTGTATGAGAATAATCATTAAGATTATAACTCTTGATTTTAATCATTATCTTGATTTTTTTCCATAAGATTTTTTTCCATTTTTGGAAAATAATTTCATCTCAAACATTAAGGTAATGAGTGAATATTTCAGAGATTCAAAACAGACTGGGTATATAGTAGGTCATATGTCATGTTTAGCACCTATATTCTAGTTCACCTCCCATACAAATGAAGACAAGTCGTGAACATACATGTACTTTTGTTTCATCAAGAAACATGTTTAAGCAAAAAACCTAATTCACAAAATAAACAACAAAAGTCTCAGACCCACCTCAGAAAATCTCCAAATAACCAAATTTCTGAACACCCACATTCATCACCAAAAATCATGGGATTCTTCAAACGTAATGTGATTACAAGAATCCAAAGCACCCACCCAGTATTTCAATAAAAAAGAACCAAAATATCGCTTATAATTTCAACGAATTTCTACAATCAAGTAATAGAAAGTCGCAAAAAAATAGACCCAAAATAAAAATACAAAAGGGGGTTCAAAAAAATCCATTAAACTTCATAAATTGAAACACTTGTAATCACTAAAATCCAAATAAGAAAAAAAGGTACCGGAGTCGCCAAAGAAAAGGAACGAAGAAGGAAGGCAAAAAAGAAATGAAAAGTTATTGCATCGACTGTGTGGATGAAGTGAAGTGATGTGTGAAAATGGAGAAATATGATAGTTGAGGTGATGGTTGCAGTGAAGTGAGATGTGAAAATGGAGAAATGATTGAAGACAACACGACGTCGTTTACGCTCCTAGAACGGAAAAAAATTTGCTACAATGTGATAGAATGGAAGAATTCGTTGTTTCTAACTACAGTACATTCTCATTCCCTTTTTTATATAGTAGTGATACAAATTTTTTTTTTTTTTTTAATCTGTATTCTATTTTTAAAAAGGTATTCATTTAATAAAAAAGGGCATACTGGCCAGGCCTGGCCTAACACAACTTTTGAAAATATATTCATTATTTAAAGAGAAAAAAAAAATATTGTGCTCAATAGAATAAGCTAGATCTCCTAATATAGTGTTTAAGACTTAATCAGCGTATATGCATATTTTATTTCATCAACATGCTTTTATCCCCTTTTTTGAACTTGCATTCTTTCCTATTTTTCTTTCTGAGATGTGCATGTAGTGTCCTTGTTGGAATCTGTAGACTATAGTTTTGGCTCATGTAACTATGTCACTTTTTCTCCGTCTTGTCACGAACAATGCAATATCCTATACTGGGACGAGTAATTGAAATCATACCCCTAACATATGATCAAATCTGATTTAGTCAAAATTACTCCTTCCAGCTCCTGATCCTACTACCGGTGTTGGCTGACATTGCTTACAATTTACACATGGTATCAACATGAAATCAACTAATCACTTCTATCAATTCAACCACCCCAAACTACTCACAAATATTGACTGAGTGATTGATATATCTCGTTCTACTAATTTAAGAGTGTTTATACCAACTCAAAGATCTATCGTAATAGGGTTGGAAATGGGGCTAGATCAGGGACCCTGTACCCGCCCCATTACCCGTTTAAGGCAAGGCAGAACGGGGTGGGGCGGTTGCCCCTTTTATATACCTGTTTAATTTTTTTTTTTTAATATTTTTTGATAATTCATTTTATTGTCCTCATTCATTCAAGTGAAAAAATAATATAGTTATTAAAATTTTTAGTTAATTTATTTATTTTTAAAAGTCAAATTATTGGAATATATTTGATAAATTAATGTTTTTATTATTTATCATATTTCTTAAATAATATTAGTTGCCATCTTCTATTCGACTTAATGAAATTTCATGGAGTTTTTCCATTTTAAAGTATTAAATTCTTTAAAAATAAACGGGCGACGATGGGGCCCTTGTTACCCGTACCGGCCTCGGGACAAAATTCCTCGGCCCATACCCAAGGTGATTACCCGATTAAGCGGGTAATCCCCACTCTATTAGGAGCGGGGCCCACAAGTATCAAGTTTGATGAGTATTTTTGTCATGGGCAAATTAGGCCCAATGCCCTAAAAAAATTACTAATTTGATTAATACCCTATTTAATTAATAAAATCATTCAACAACGTAATTATTACGTTATAACCTCCCCCAAACCTCCAAACTCCTGAAGCCTGCGTGAATGAGGAGAGTAGCATTGCCACAGTCATTCACAACTCAAATCGATTCCACCACTAGATTCCCAATCGAGAGCCCGCTCGCTACACCAACTGTACTCGTGAAGTGTCTCACCCTTCTAGGCAAATGCTGCCGCACTATCGTCTGCAATGGCTGTTGCGATGTGGTCCTCGGTGGAATTTGGAAAGTATGTTGCACGAGCACCTGAAGCACTTAGCACTTGATTATGTTTTTGTAATGTTGTTTTTTGTATACAAATATGGTTTTTGTAATGTTGTTTGTTCAGACTGCTCTGGAGGACTTTTACTCGAAAATGGGTCATATGGACATTGCATGCGGGCGTTCGATGGAATTGAAGGAAAGAACATTGTTTTTGGAATTAAATCGAGGAGATTTAGCAATGGCTCAGAGTGTGTTCGACGAAATGCCAGAGAAGGAGGTGATATCTTGGAATGCAATGGTTTCATCAATACACCATCCCCTTTGGAGCACCTCGTCTCTCTCTACATCTCTGTCTTTCTCTGTCCAGAAACACATTCTAAATTCTCAACTATTCAATTTGTTTAGCAATATATATACTCCTTTTATCAATTTGCTAAAAGGTAAAAGCTAAATTTCTATCCAGATCATAACTTTAGCAATTGCTCAAAGTGTGTTTGATGAAATGCCAGAGAAGGATGTGATATCTTGGAATGTAATGGTTTCTAGTTATACAATGGGTAGGAATATGGAGCAGGGATATGCATTGTTTCGACAGATGCCAGGGAGTAGTTTTGCTTCCTGGAATGCTATGATCTGTGGGTATCTAGATTGCAGGAAGATAGAATTAGCATGCAGCTTTTTTGATGCGGTGCCCCAGAAGAACAATGTTTCTCATATCACAGTGATTTTCGAGTACTCAAAATGTTGTCCGAGTTTGGTAAACTGTTCGGTCAATATGCAAACTGTAGGATATGTTATGATTTGAAGACCGCAAAAAATATTATTCAATTAACAGTGATGAGCGTTTATAAGATTGTTTGACATTTACATCTTAGTTTAGTCATCAATTTTTATTAGTTGTGACTTGTGAGCTTACTGTAAACTTGGTTGCATTTAAATTTTGGATTATGATCATATTGTCCAAGTTGTTAGTTCAAAAATTTTTAATTTGTTCATTAGCTGTGAACTTATTAGATAATTTGTCTATATCGAAAATTGTGGATTGCGGTTTGTAATTTTTTTTTTAATTTGTGTCACTTTTTTTAAATATTTGACATTTTTTTGAGTTTGTCACTTTTTTTGAATTTTGTTACTTTTCGAGTGTTTGTCATTTTTTAATCCGTGTAACTTTTTTTTAAAATTGTGTCACTTTTTGAATTTTCGTCACCTTTTTAATGTTTGTCATCTTCTTGATTTCTATCTCTTTTTTAAATTCGACACTTTTTTAGTGTTCGTCACTTTTTTAAATTTGTCACTTTTTTTTTATTGTTCGTTACTTTTTTTAAAGTCAACTTCTTGAAATTTTTATCACATTTTCAGTGGCAAGCATCATTTTTTTTTAAAATAAAAGTGATATTGTATGTCATTTTTAATATAAAAAAAAAGTGACACTAAACTTTTAATAGTGACATTGTGTCACTTTTTTGAGTTTTTTTGTCACCTTTTAAGTTTTTGTCACTTTTTTAAATATTTGTCACTTTTTGAAGAAAATAAAAAAGTGACATAATATGTTATATGTTCCTAACATAATTAGGACATTAACAATCCACATGTTGATTATGTTAAGAACTGCCACTACGCTCACGTGAATTGTCATAGATATGCTGATTATGTTAAAAATGTGATTAGTGGTGCTGTCCAAATGGATGTTTCTATTTTGGTGTTTCTCACTTTTTTAGCGTTCATGTCACTTTTTTTGAGTTTAAAAAAAAAAGTGACAATTTTTATAAAAAAGTGACATTGTGTCACTTTTTTCATTTTACACAGTATTTTTTACTTCCTAACAATTTTTCATATGATTTTTCAAAATACCTCTAATTTTAAGGGCATTTTTGTAAGTTGCCCTTTTGTCATTGCTACATGTATTATGCAATATTTTCAAAACTAAATAATGATAACTAAAAGTGACTATGTGCTCAATAATATGATCTTACATAGATAAGCATGATACAAAAACAAACTCAAACAGAACCATTATATCACGTATCATAAGTCAAATAAATTTCGAGCATAAATAAGGTGATGTTATCCAGCAAGTTACAAGCATGTCTTGTGAATTTTTTTCAGAATTTCCAATTTCTTTCAAAAAGTTTCATTTTTTTTTTCCAAAATTCTATAAAATGTAAAGCAATAATAAACAAGCACACATTTGACTCACAAAGTCGACTCTACATAAGGTTACATTGTCCTTAATGTAAGTACAAAACATAAAGTAGGGTAATATATGAAGGGGCTCGAGGAAGATTAGTATTAAAATACTCGACTTGGAGCATGTGAGGCTACATGAACCTTCATGCAACTACCAGGGAACAGTTATCAATATTGATTGCATCATGCATCGATATTGCTGTTAGGAATCTACTTAACATGTGCAGCGAAAAATTAAAATAGATTTCGATTCCTACCAGGAATCTTTTTGTGTTTAGATAGAAATTGTGAAAAAATTGTATCTTTTCCAAATCTGCAAATTTCTTTGTTATTCTTTTCGTCTCAGCAATATTGATTCGCCACCCACAGCTATCCAATTGTCCAGCCTCCAAGAGTGATCCACACAGAGAACAGATTGCAACTACTAGGTTTCTCTTCTTGTGTTAGCAAGAAATTATGAGAAAACTATATCGATTGAAAACCCTAACCACGTATTTATATAAACCCAAACGGGCCTGGCCTGGCCTGGCCTGGTCTGGTCTAATATTTAATTAATCCATTTAATTAAATCCGGTTCCTGAATTAATTAATCTAATTAATTAATTCGGACCTATAAATAACCAACCCAATTGATTAATTTATTCGACGATTGTTAAATTAATTAATTGACAAATAGCAATCTTCTAATTCTCTTTTGTGTGCGACCCATCAAGTTCCCGATCACCATGCCTAACGATGTGAAATATTATTTTGATTTAATCAAAATTGATAAATTAAAATACTATTTTAATTTATCACCAATTCACACTCGGCGTTCCAGATTGATATCTAACAATGTGTCAGGGCAATACATGTGACGGGGAATGTCATGTGGTATGACAAAACCAAACTTGATCAAGGATTTCGTTATCGACTTAATTGAATGAAACGCAGATAATAATCTCCTACTATCTAAGAGTTACGAATCCTCTATGGGTCATTCGCAACCTTCATACGATTCTTAACATACTCGAACGATCCTGTATTAGCGGCCCTTGGCAAAGCAACATCCAACACTTTCAAAGTATGACTGTCCTCATATAAAATACTACGACGACCTCAAGTCAAAGGACCAATCACATTACCGAACATTAGATATTAACCATTGACACTCAAATAATTATCCATGTGGAATCTCTCGGTAGCTCTCCAATGTTTTGTTCTATAACAAAACATCCACGTGCTCATTCAAGTGTCGCCACACTTTAACTTGTGAGATCAGCTACTTACTTCACAAGTAAGAAATGTCACACGTGATGATCTATCATTAATAGCGATATCCGTATCTCGTTATTACTTACGACCACGGACGATTTAAGTTTCAATCATAGGTAATTTGTATCTCATAATCACAACTCCTTGCGATTAAAAAATTACAAAGATTTGAATCTACGGACTCTATTATTTATTTAATTGTCTATTAATTAAAAAATAGATCTGTCATTAAATTGCATTAATTATATATGAAAAGTATTTATGTCCAGGGTTGATTAGACCTAGGACATAATACATACAATTGCGACCTCAACAGACTTGGCCTTCAAATAATGTTTTTCCTTTTTTATACCATGATTTGACCCCATCTTTATGAAATGTATGTCCGAACTCCAAATAATTTAACTCATTAATGATCAGTGTCCTAAAAATCACGTTTAGCGCAGACAAAACGTCTAGACGTGCTTTATTCATTTTTGTTAGTTTTTCCTTTTTTTTAAAGCCTTTTATTTGATATAGTTTCAAGTTTTTTCTTTGAAAATTATATAATTGACTAATTGTAGGAATTATTAATTAAATATAATATTTTATAATTTTAGTTGTTTGGTATATAATATTTTAATTATTAAATGACTTTTTAGAATGATTAAAAATTTAAAATAATATTAAGAATAAGAAAATGTTTTTTTGGCCTAGGTCTCTAGCCTAGACTCGTAAAATTTAAACCTTGATCTCCACGTCTAACCATGATTTATGCTTTTTGAAACGGTTCTAATTATAAGCACTTAACACTATGATGCTTGAGAAAGTTTTGCTAAAGGATTAATTGTTGGGAACTTAATTAACTTGCACAGCGAAAATTAAACGAAAATTTTCAATTCCTACCATGGATCTTCTTTGTACTTAGAGAGAAATTGTGATAAAGAATTATGCCTTTGATGAATTCTTTGAAGAACATTTCTGATTTGCAATCTACAACTATTCAATCGTCCAACCTCCAATGAAAACCTACACAGAGAACAAGATAGAGAGAATTAGGGTTTTCTTTTCTTTTTTTTTCTTTTTTTGTACTAGCGAGAATATGAATTATGTATTCTCTTCTGATTTTTCAAACCCTGGCAACCTATTAAAATAAGTCCAAGTGGATTTGGCCCGTCTCTTAAATTTAACTCGATTCAATATTTAATTAATCCAATTAATTAATTTGGACATATTAATAAGCAACACAATTAATTAATTTTTCAACACTTGTTAATTAATTAATTGGTCAATTTCATTCTTCTAGTTATCCTTTTGTGTGTGACCCATTAAGTTTTAGATCACGATGCCTAACGACATGAATTATTATTTTAATCTAATCAAAATCGAATAAATTAAAATATCCCTTCTTAATTTACCGATGATTCATATTTGTCATCCCAAATTGACATTTAGCAATGTGTTTGGGTAATACATGTGACGAAAAATGTCACATGGTATGACAAAAAAATTCATTCATTTACCGTGAAATTATAATCATTTTGTCAATATGATCTAATCAATTACGAGATATGAATATGTATTAATTTCAATTATCGATCGTATCTTTCATTCCACTATTAAGTCAACTTAATCAAAAACTCTTTTTCGACTTATAAGTACACCTTAGCCAAAGATTTCGTTATCAATATAGCCCCCGTTTGGCCTCCATTTTGTGGTAATGAAAATGAGTGGAATAGTATTTTATTTTTTTTAAATAAGTGGTTGAAAAAGAAAGAATTTTTTTTATTTACATATAATATTATTTTATGGAAGATTGTATGGTTGAAAATAGGAGAGAGAAAAATAGAATGTAATTTAATAGGGGGCCAAACAAGGGCATAATTAAATAAAATGTAGATCATAATATTTTATTATCTGAGAATGATGAATCCTCTATTGATCATTCACAGCATTCTATGATCTTGACATACCTAAACGATGCCATAATAGCGACCATTGACAGAGCAACATTCAAAATCATCAAAGTATGTATGTCCTCATATAAAGTACTATGATGACTTCAAGTCGAAGGACCAGTTCCACTACCAAACGTTAAAGATTAAACACAAATACTCAGATAATTACATATGTAGAATCTCCCTAGCTGGTCTCCAATGTTTTGTTCTATAACAAAATATCCACATGTTTATTTAAGTGTTATCTCAATTAATTTGTGAGATTAGCTACTTATTTCACAAGTAAAAAATGTCACAATTGATCTACTCATAATAATTATATCCATAATAACTATATACATATCTCATTATTACTTACGACCACAAATAATTTATCATTCAGTCATATTGTAATTTGTATTTCAAATTCACAACTCCTTGTGAATAA